ATTTACTTTAAAGGCAGAAGATCTGTCAGCCGTTGTTTTCGCTGGCTAATAAGCGGACAGCTTCAACGGTTTATGACAGGCTTTGCAGCTTTGGAATACACATCTTAAACCTTTTCACCTGGTATATGATTCCATGTTATCTCTACCACTTTCTCAAAATAGATTTGTTCAGATTACTTTTAACTACTTTCCTTGGTAAAACGTTAATATGCGCTACTGACTTGTAAGATTAAGGTCTGCTAATTAATCAACTTCATGTAATTGTTCAGCTGTGTTTGATATAATTCGACTGTTGTGTTTGGAACTCATGATTTTCCTCAACATTCGATCCAACCTAATCGATTTTATCTTCTACTATGAAAACAGATAATTGATATGTATAATTTCGCGTCACATTTTTCAATCTTATGCAATTCTGTTGGCATGAATGATTGCGAGGTATGTCAGTTGTCTGATGTTATTCGTCTATCATCGCCTCGGTCTAGATGCTGCAGTAAAGCCTTGCACTGCTATTGTTCCCTGCAGTTGTCATTGCTTAGTATCATGATGTGGCCAAAATATAGTAATAAACGCTCATGTATGTGTAAAAATCAGAGTACGGAATTGGTCTCTCATCCATCTATATTCAAGACCCGCTATGCATTTCGAGATGAGGAAGTTTCACCTGTGGAACTTGAGGTAACTTTTGAGCGTCGTATTACCCCTCCTCACTCTTTCCAATTGTTTTTCTAAATTAATAGCGAGTCCACTAATGAAATTACAAGACGGCATCGTTGACCGCCACATAAAAACAGCATTGGGGGAGGGGAGTGTAGCATACTTGTCGAATGAATTGCTCTGTCTTTGTCAGATGTGAAAGAAAAAATTCGCATTGCGTTGTTGCGTGGACACAAGTGCAATGTTTGCTTTATAGCAAAAGATAAGTCTCTCATATGCTGATTCATCATTAAAGTTCAATAACATAATTCACTAATGTTTTAAATGTTTTAGCCTACCTGTTCATTATCATTATTATAATCATGTACTTTGAAACTTGACCTTAAAGAATTGATCCGTAGCTAAGATGTCTTAATTGTTACACGGCTAAATAGACAAGTGAATAATAGCATTAGAATTGCTGAGATGTGACTGAATAACTATGTAAACAAATAAATTTTAATCATTATTTTCACGCCATGCCGTTGTGGGGAAAGCTGCAATTGTAAACATGCTGTTGGAGACTTCATACATTTGCTAGGGATAATTATCTCAACTTTTGCTCGATGTTGGTTTCAAATAAAACAGACAAGAAGATCGAAAATAGCCAACAGGTTATCTGTGACATTGACCTCTTTCCATCAGTCTAAAACATCAAAATTGTATCGGTATTATGACCAGTTAAATTGAGCTGTTCTAATTTCTAGTGAACGTGTTGCCTCCACCAGTTGACTGCTGCTTCTATGCAAATCTCTGTCGACATGAAACGTATCGGTTAGATCGTACGCGCGGATGACCTCGCCACTGTCAGCCCCCCTCCCGCTCGTTGGGGACCATCAGAAAGGGTGACCTACTATTGTACCCTCTTCTATAGAGGCTGCTCAGTTTCTGGAGCGTCGGTCTTGGAACTGAGAGGTCATAAGTTCGAAGTCCCTTCATTCTTCTTCCTTTCTTTTTAGATTGATAAATAAATACCACTTTGTGGGCAGGAAGCTGTAGGCTCTGCTTCTCAAATATGACATTCTTGGATGCTGGCATGGGATCGGAGCTCAGCGCAGCATCATTGCATTTCATGAAAAAATGTCTCCGCAAGTGTCCGTTAAACATGAGGGTATGAGGGAGATCTACATCCAAACGGTTGCGAACTTCCTTCCCTTCTTTCCCTCCTTCTACGACAATAACATGTTTTTCGTTTCCTACGCACTTCTAGACATTGGCTGCAATTTAGGAAGAAGAGAAGTTGTTTATCGGTGCCCCGGGAGCATGGTATTGGCAAGGGTCATTGATTACGCAAGAACTCGAAGGCGAAGGCAAAGTCAAGCGGACCGGCGAAGGCCCCGCGAACATGGACGACACGTACATGGGTAAGTGGCTTAAGGACATAATCAACGGGCTAGTGTCATTATTGCTTGATTAGGCTACGCCATGGCCGCTGGCCACTTCAAGGAACAATCGATCAACGACGTCGCAGTTGGTGTTCCAAAGGGAAACAACCTCAAGGGCATGGTAAGCAATGGCACTGGCGTGAAGCGCTAATCTGTTGATCGCGTTACGTCATAAGATTTTAAATCACTTCCTACTTCTCGTTACTAGGTCGTTCTTTTCGATAACGACATGAAGGTGCTGCTTAACATTAGTGGACACCAGGTCGGATCTTACTTTGGCAGTTCGATAGCCGTTACCGACCTGAATGGGGACGGGTACGGAGACCTAATGACATCATCGCTGGTTCATTTCCATTGTTGTTCGAATTTCAGGTTGGACGACATAGTGATCGGGGCGCCGTTAGAATCACACAAAGAAAACGAACACGACGACGCCAACCCGACCAAGGTGATGTACGAAGTTGGTAAGGTGTACGTGTACTTTCAGAACAGGGCGGTAAGTCAACGGAGGTAGATTCAACCGTTATGCTACTACAGTAGTCCTGTGAACTTTAGCACTTCTTCAATGATTACGTGTCCCTGAGAGGCAATCGTATGTGGTCAAGATTTGGACATGACGTGGCGAGTGTCGGCGACCTCAACGGGGACGGCTTTAATGGTAAGTGTTGGCTATATTTCATTCGTGTCTTTCTTCGAGTTGCTCTAGCGGTTGCGAAATCGAGGATGCTTGTTTCGAGTGTCGTTCTTCACTTGTTGTGAAAAGTTTTTCTCCACATACCCGACGGTTGTCAGGAAGGTTTACTTCACACGCATACGCCAAATACTTCAGATCATCGATTGCTTGTCGGAACTGAGAGAAAGGTGTAGACGCGATGCTAATCATCCTCTGACTGGTATTTGATCTCCTGACAATGCGGTCATACAGTTGGTTCATGAGCAATTTTCGTATGCTTGAACGCAGTTGGTAATTACCTGAATGCACCGGAAAGCGCAGAAGGTGTCGCACCAAATGAAAATACCGGTTCCTCTTCCAATAGTTGATTTTCGGGATCCTAAACCATTCATATTTGTATTATCGCTTGGAAAAATCAGTTTTGTCAGCTCTGACTGATCTTAAGCAAAGAATTGAAGAATACTTCTTAGTTTTCTCAGAAATTTTTACCAATTAGTGAAGATATCCTTGAAAGGAAGGAATAAGAGCTTTTGACTGAACAGCTCTGAGTACGAAAAGTGTCCGCAGTCAAGAGAGCAGTAAAAAGTCAACGTTTTGGCAATTACTTATTTCTATAATTATGCCATACAACTGTTTATGCATATATCTTGAGAAATGCTGGCTTTTGAATAGAGACTTTCGACCCATTGAACCTTCGTCATAAGGTTTACTAGATGAACTTCATTTCTTAGAAAACATCTTTCAGTGTTTTCTGGCGTTCATAATGATTCACAGCTAAAAGTATTTTAACACAAATGCGAACCTTTCACGTCCAGTGTTTGAAATGCACAAAACGAATCGACAAATTTTGTGAATGGGCGGATGCTGCATAAAAAGCCATGCTTTCCACCATCTGGGCGCTTATGATTTGTGACTGTCTTAAAAGTACTGACGCCGCATGGGCAAAATGTGAAATTGCTACGCAGTACTGGTCAGGTCGCATTAGCGATGGACATCCTGGTTGCAGATCGTTATGAAGAGGTTACAGGATTGTGTGAGAGGTTCCCTTACTGAGTTTAGAAGTTTGAAATTTTTACCTCTTAAATGGAATTGCAAAGGAGCATCATTTTGAACATGAAAGAAAACAAAACAAATTAAGCATAAAGAAAAGAGATCAGTGGTAGCATTGAGACAGTTTACAGATTAAATCATGCAGCGTACTTCTAAGTGCTATATAAAGCAAGCAAATGCAGTAGGCAGAGGCAGGAGATTAAAGGGAGAACTGTACAGTTTCAGAATTTCCTGCCTCTCAGGGACAAATCCTCTTAATTGCAATTGCATAGTATATTTATTGGTTCAGACGGCTGAGAATATGAATGTACAAATTTTAATAGCGTTATTACGCCGGATTTCTCAGATCTCGATCGTCGAAATGCTTTAATATCAGCTTGATTTATACCGAGTCTTAAAACTCTTCAAAATGCAAGTGAAAGAATCGACGATCCTTGTCAGCTTTACCCTTAGAGCAGGCATAAAACCTTTCCGTAATTTAGTTTATCCTCTGAAAAGGAAATGCCCACTCGCTGTTAAACATAACAAAAGACCTGGACAATAATACTTGATCAATAATAATAGGAAATAGAAAAAAATTTTTATCTGTGACTTTTTCATGGCTCAGACTTAAACTACCTGGTGTGATGACATTTTCTCCACTTTCCTTTTGTGTTCTTTTGGAACTGTGGATGGTACTTTGTTACTAACGTACTAAGTCGCGCAAACGCTGTGACTCTCTCTCCATTTACTGGTAACTATTGTCGTACATTGCCATAATCTTTTGTTCTTCTTGCCTATGCATATTAGTAGCAAAGCAGGTGTTATATCTTAATAGACAAGGACGATTTATTAAATCTTTGTGGACACTGTAATGAGATTATGCTTGTTTAAATTAGAACTGCTTTAAAAGATGCGAGGAACTCTGCTAACTTCTGTTACTAACTTCTGTTTAATCTCGTTAGTGGATAGTTTTTGGATTTATGAGATGATATCACTACTGACATGGCGGCTCAGGAGAACACATTCATGCCTTCCTCACCATATGTTGCGATCTCCTACTTTGATCGATGTCAGCTTTAAGCGACGAGGACGTCGAATTCGGAGTGTAGCGTATTTATGTAGAGCAATTTGTAGTGTATTTAAGAAACTTAAATCAACTGTAGAAAATTCTGCTAAGAGTTTTTTGAAACTTCGCATGGAAAAGAGAATGTAAAGAAGTAATAGAATCGTAAAACCTTGTTCAAAGGGTCATGCAATGGCCTGGTTCAGTCGTAAGTGGTTCATTATTTTCTGACAGATAAAAGGGCCATAGTGAATTTCATAGCCATTTACTTTACAAAACTATTTTCTGCTCTCATCCGGAGGTGTTAACTTTTATTCGGTTTTGCTATGAGTGACATGTGTACAAGAAATAAGTCAAGTTTATTGCTTGAACGGAATCTGTGTAAATTCCGTTTTTCAGCGGTAGAACAAAAATCGTAAATTAAGATATTGCGCATTGCAAGAGAATGAAATGAGACTAGGTCACTACTTGATCAGATCTGAACTGGATACAAGAAGCAATCGAGACAAACAGAATTATTACATTCGATGCATAACGAGGTAGTTTCTTCTGTGCAGTGTGGATCTTTGAGGATTCGGGCTAAGAAAGAGGTTATGGATCTACAGTAGAGTTCGGAACATGCAGAGATGCTTACGCAATATGATGTAATAGTTGAAATCTTCCATATAGTGGCACAACGGCAGTGATGCCCGCTTTCAACTCCGAAAATTCTGGGTAGGTATCCACTCAAGGGAAAATCCTCTCGTTTACCATGAATTCCCATGAGCAAGGAATTGATCCCTCGTTGCTTCGCCGCAACCGGTCGAGAAGCACGTGGTAGGTCGTTCACTTAACGAATAATGGGGACAACATAGTATTCTGGTATGGTATGACGATGCCAGAATGGACGATGTGTAAGGCTATGTTGTCCTGTGCGAGCGCCCATTATGGTTGCACTTCGTCTTGATCCACCTGATAGCTGACTATGCAGTGCAGTGACCGGATGTAGTATATCCCTGAGTTCGATTTGCATGCTAACATGTTTTTCATGCGGCAGATATTACTCGTTACCAATGAGATAGGCATGACTTGAGTTTACGTTAGAACTCGTTAAATCATCCTCAGATATTGTCTGTCAGGCTGCGTGGATAGTCAGGTCCCTCTGTCCGAGGATACGATGACTGTTCAGGAAATCATGAGTCAAAAACTTCTAGCTATCCAGCTGTAATGAGGAAGGAATGCTGCATCTGGTGCCGTTTGGAAGCCAGATCGTGCTTAGAAGAGACAGACTAAGTAACTGGACGTACTGAACGTACTGTTATATAGCGATTACCTCTGCGAATAGCTTCCGCTGAAGAAGCCGAGACACAAAGTGAAATGGAATTCTTCTTCATATTCCACAGGCGTGCTTTGTGAAACATTTGCGCGCTCGCGACTCTAATTAATTAGCCCAGTTCCGGTACAACTGCGGAAGACGTCAGTGGGTCATCTGCTACTTAAGAAAACAGAATGTCGAACGCGGCTGTTCGCCAAGACAAGACAGTCAACGGTCGGTCGGTCGGTCGGTCGGGCAGTGAGTTTCGGGAACTCCGCCATCCGCTGCCCCCGACGTGGTCCTCATCGCGCGCCCTTTATTCTTAGAAAACGCGATGCTTGGACTTAGACGAAACACGCCAGAGGTGATCGTCGATCAATCGCGTCGCGTCTGTCAGTCCGATCCTCTTGTTTACTTCGATCGAGTCCAAAAATAATTTTCCCCGTCGAATATGTTTTCTGGCCGAGTTATCCGAAGCTCGTTTCTCTCTCTCTCTCTCTCCCTGCTCCTTCGTTCAGATTTTCGGACTCATCGCCCACGCTTCGCTTCGGGAGGCCGCAGCGCTGCTCAACTTTTTACACCCGTCACTCGCATGACCGCTTTTTGACCTCCAGCGGAAATTCACTCACTCATTCACTCGCCGCGCCCATCACCTCGGCGTAAATATTACTTGCGCGGCGCGGCAACGGCGACTGACTCGCCTTGACTCGCTTTGACTCGGCGCTTCTCCCGCTGTTCAGTTCGACATGAGCGCACGGCGAATATTTACGACCGCAGCTGCGGGTGTGACTTCTGGCACGAGTCATTTGGTCTGTCGATCGTTACGACAGTTGGCCGCAGCCTTGCTGTATGTAGCTGCTGGTCGGTTCTGTGTGAAGTGGAAGTTCACGAACCGTATTCTGTGAATTTACTAGATTATGAATCATCGAGGGAAGTTGAACAAATGGATAGTTGTAGAAATTGCTTTTAACTCGGTGTTCGTATTTATTTTTCGCCCACAATGGCTTATTCTTGGGAAGAAAAATTTTCTCACGAAAAACGGAAAGGATCAGCAAATAAGGAAATAAGCACAGAATATGAGCCCATTGCCAAATATTATTCTATTTCTATTTTTTAATAATCCACTTGTACTTTGAGTCACATCTCATGACATTAAGTAAGTGCCACTTCGTGTTCAAATACATAAGAATGAAACAGAACCGACGGTGCTTTCGATTTCTCGCATATTCCCCTTGCGAACAGCTTCTTTAGGAGCGAACGTACTTAATCGAAAACTTCTAAGGAACACCCTCTCGAATTTGCATTTTATATGTGTGGATTTTACAGCACGTGATGTCAAATTACCTTGAAACACATTTTCTGTAAATCAATCGGGAAACGGATTGAAAATCGGTTGCCCTTAAACTGATCGATGTCAGCTGTATTTCGGATTCACGGGCTGGAGTAAATTTTGTATGTCTAATCAGGTGTCCAGGAGGCCAAATTCTTTTTCTTAATTTCCACCTCTCTGAGGTTAGCTGTTCCCGGAAGAGAACAGAACCATTCATTAAGCGGCCCTGTCATTAAACCCTCATTATTCGTCGAAGCTCACGCTGTTCCACGCAGTTCAGCCGTCGTTGTTCCCTCCTTAGAACAACTGTCTACATTTCGTGCAAAAACACTGATCTGACAGAAGCAAGGTACAAGCGGATTGTCACGTGAACAGTAATTCCTTTGTCAGCCCGAACAGGTTTCCATAAATACTCGGGATCCTTTTACGTAACTCTGAGTGGATAATGCCGTCGCTTGTGATGATTTAACCGAGACTCTTAAACTGGTCAACCTCCTGAATGACTTCACCTGCCTGTTGCACTTGTAAGTCAGCTATATCGGATGGGTCCATCATAACGTATGACTTCCGGACATTAAATAAAAAGCCGGATTTCGTGGCTACGTTGCATACGGAAGCCATCAGTTGATACAGCTCGCTGGCAGTACTACTCACAAAGACAGTACTGTGTGCTCCAGAGCAGCGACATGTCTAGCCGGATACCTTGAATTGCTCCTTGCCTCTAAAATGAAACCCTCATCTTTGCTTGAGTCAGCCCTGTTTCAGAGACAAAAGTTTAGAACGCTGTTGAACGAGAAGGGCAAAACGTTGCCTCAATGGCGAACTCCACCGACAATAGGGCACCTTTCAGATAGCTTTCTTCAACTTTGATAGTACATATGGTTCCTGCATAATTTATTCCAAAATGGAAACGATGTGATCCGGTATTCAGATATTTCAAAATTTTTCACATCTTCAGATGCTAAATCAAATGTCGCAAACCAT